CCCCTTCCCCCCCAATATAAGCTTAGTCAGATATTTTAGGATGTTTAATTTGTGATTTTCTTCATTCTTCTTGATTTCAACCTTAACTTAAGAAGTAATGTGATCCGTCATACCCAATCTCTACTCATGTCTTTCTCTTTCTCTATAACTAACTCTAACTTTCTCGTTATCCTAGGATTACACGTACTACCAATTACAAGTTTCACTCTAAGACAATATTATTTCAAGGTAATACAAGATGTTAGGATAGATTATACAATCTATATGTTGGTATAACATAGACGGTTATCGAACACTCCCTGTTACAACCTCTAATTCATTTGCATACATTAGTTATGTTAATCAATTGCTTAACAAACCAATCAAATATATCAACTTAGACATTTCAAACGTGGTTTCTTTTTTTTTTTTTTTATATTACAAAGCAATCCTTTCGGGAAGGAAGATTTGTTTTGATTTTTTGTTTTTTTTTATGTTCATGTTTTAATTATTGAATTTGTTCAAATTACTTTTGTTTTATTATATAAACGTTTGAGCGTTTCACGAATTTTAATTTTTAATTTTAATTCACGTTGACAAGTTTCCATTATATTTTGTTAGTTTTTTTATTTTTAAATTAAATTTGTCATAGTTTTGATACGCATGATGATATTGAAGATCAATTTTTTCAGTGATCGGTTTTTGATTTTTTCATCAAAATTTAATAATTATCACATATAAATTATTATTATAATTGTTCAGTTTTTTTTTTTTTTTTTTTTTTGTAAAACATTTTAAATTAATTGATTAATTTTGTTCTATTTCTATAATGTTTGAAAATAATAATAATAATAATAATAATAATAATAATAATATTTAATGATTATACATACGTCTTGTTGCAATTACTGGATAAAGTTCAAATTCATTGAAAGGTGCTGGTATCTTAACGTCTGTCTTTTCCATACGTTTTTTTACAAAGTTCTTCCTAAGTTCTATAACATTACTGAAAATATAAATAAATTAATTGATCATAATATTACAAATGATTTGCACATGTGTACATAGTAACGACGTAAGTACTTTTTTCATCCCATTCATTACATTAAATTCAATTACGTAAACTTCAACACAAATGTTAATGTTAATGTACAATTTTTATTTTTTTTTTTATTTTTTGCAAAAAAAAAAAGAAAAAAAATAATTCTAATAATCCAATAATATTTTTCTCTTTTTTTTTTTTTTCTTATTAAAATTACTTTTTCATGAAAATTTATTCTCACATTATTTTAACGAATTTAATTAATGCAGATATTTTTTTTTTTACAGAGAGAAAAAGAGAAGAGAAGAAAATAAAAAAGAAAAGAAAAGAAAAGAAAATAAACTTGGAACATAAAACACACACAGTATATAAAAATTAAAAAAAAAAAAAACAACAAGTAATTTTAATCAAAGAATTAATTACATAAAATTAAATTATATATATATATGTATATATGTATTATTATTATTAAAGTAATAGTAAGTAATACTAAAGTAAAGTAAAGTACAGTAATAGTTAATTAAAATTAAAATTAAAATTAAAATTAAAATAAAAAATAAAAAATAAAATAAAAAATAGATTATAATATATATATATATAATTATAATTTATATAAATAATAAATCATTTGCATAGTAACCATAATGAGAATATGTTAATATTCATCTTTACATATGAGTAATATAAATATGAGTCAACTTGTTAACTTTAATTGAAAGTATTTTTGTTACACCCAATACATACCAACATATACACATATACACATATATATATATACACACATATCTATGTAATACATCAAGTAACGTAGATAACAGAATAATCCTTGCTGAAGTACAAATTTTCTCACACATTTTCTCACGGATAATTAATTAGCTTGTTATCGTAACTCAGGTAACATGACATATATATATATATATATATATATATATATATATATATATATATATATATATATATATATATATATATATTGTTAGATAGCATTTTATATAGTCAACGTCATCTTTATTAAAGGTGAAGAATGAAAAGTTACACCCTTACATTCGTGTGAATACCATGAAGATACTCTAAGGTGAGAGATATCCTCAAAAGTGTCATGAAATTTCGTGAATTTTATGTTTCGCGAAGAATGTTGTTAAATTCTTATCTAACACGTTTTAATCTATATATCTATCTTTATCTCTCTATCTCTTTATCTCTTTATCTTTATCTCTATGCCTTTGTCTCTTTTGTTTATACGATATTTGACGATGAAACTATTTACGAAGACATTCACTTGATTTCAAACTTTACAGAATTTCATCGATACACTTCATTTCCATATCACGTTCAATACATATATATATATATTAATATATATATATATATATATAGTATTATTTAATAATAATAATAATAATAATAATAATATAATATATAATTATTTAAAAAATTATTTCAAGGTTTGTACTTTAAAATTAATTACATTTAAAATAATGTTATACGTAAATTAAATATATATATATATTTATCTTAATGTATATAAATTATGTGTCACGTTGTTTGTCCGCAATGGACTCCTAAATTACTGAACCGATTTCAATAAAATTTTGCACACTGTGTGCAGTTTCATCCAACTTGAAAGATAGGATAGTTTATAATAAACAAATAATTCGCAATATTATTTTATAGTGGTGTCTGTCTAATGTAAATATAAAATTAAAAATAAAATACTATGAAAAATAGTTTGTAATATATATAAATAATTGTAACTAAAATAATTGAGTAGTTTAACTACAATAAAATAATATACAAAATACAAACAGTATATATAAAATATATACAAAAAAAAAATATATATATATATATCTAAATAGTATATATAAATATAAAAAATATTTTAATATTTTTACTAATTAATATTATAACTAAATAATAATATATAAATAATTGTAATTGAAATAATTGTGTATTCTAAATAAAATAATAATATTTCATATTTTAACTAAAATAATAATAATAATAATAATATATAAAATACAAACACTATATATATATATATATATATATATATATATATATTTATATATGTATATCAAATTATAGATTTTTTTGTATCGAATAAAGTTTCAATACTTTTGGATTCGTTGGGAAAGGTTTGTTCGTACGAACAAGGGTTAATCCTAGGTTAGTATAGCAGTGAAAGGGTAGATGAAGTAAAAGGGTTGGAGGGTCGATCGGTACCAGTCTCGAAACACACCATAGTTCTCTACGTAAAGAGAAAGAGAGAAAGAGCAAGAGAAAGCAAACTTTATGCATCGATCGATCATGCCAACGGCGAAATAACATATTTTTTTGTGTGTGAGTGTTTTTTTTTTTATTTTTTATTCCCTCTGTTGTTGTTGCAAGACCATCCCCGGTGAAAATGGAACGTGCATGAAAACACTTTTCATAAACCTTTTTTTTCTCTACAGTTCTATATTCATTTTTTTTTTGTTTTTTTTTTTTTTTATTAATTCAATACAACGTTGTATTATTTTTCTATTATTTTGTTTTTATTCTTCTTTTTGTTTTTTTTGTTTTGTTTCATTCAAATAAAAAATAGGATCATTTTCAATCGAGTTATTTTCTTTTCGTTCGTAGGGTGTCCTGTGGGGTGGTAAAAAGTGTGTGGGGGGAGGGAGGAAGCTCCTATTTATTTAATTACTATTTTTATTCTATTTGTCTTTTATTTTTGTAATTGTACTTGTTGTTCTTTTTCAACATTCTTCTTTTTTTTTTTTTTTTTTTTTAATTAATTAATTGTAAATTGGTCAGAAATTATGTTCTGAGGAAAGGGTGTGTTTTTTTTTTTTTTTTTTTAGGGTTCAATATTTTCTTCACAACAAATACTTTTAATAATTTGTGCACGTGGTAAAGTATGCTGAATTATTAAAAAACATTACCAAAACTACTTAACATTATAGCACAAAATAAACTTTATAATTATGAGTATGATACACTGTAAATATTCTTCTGAACAACCTTTAATGCAACCCTAATGCAAATTTAATTCTCTTTCTGGTAGTTTTATATACTTGATACAATATTAAATATGTCAATGAAAAGTATTAGTCTAGTATATATTTTTTATTGAAATATTCTATCTCAGATATTTTTCTTTTTTTTTTTTTTGTAATGTTTCAATTAATTTTTATATGCATTTTATATACATTTATATATATGCATTTTTTTTTTTTCATTTTATTTTACAATCATCGTGCACACTGAAAACATGCATGTAATATGTCAATGATAAATTTATAAACATTTTTTATATTCTCATTTATTTTAGTTTATTTAATCAAGTATATATATATATATGTTTAAATTAATTGATGAATTAAATAGAATTTTATATATAAATAATCTATTATATATTTTGAAATAAAATTGTAATATTTCTGTACACGAAATATATTCTCTTTAACTAGAATTTATATTATTTATATTATATAAAAGAATATTGATGAGAAAGTATTGGTAATGTTTTATTACAGATATTTACAGATTTCAAAGATTTACGATATTGTAGATAAAAGAATAAAACTAACAAGTAGAAGGTTGAATAGTTCGAGCATTGATCCATAAAAATGCATTCTAGGATACTTCAATGTCTATTTATCTATCTATCTATCTATCCATCTATCTATCTATCTATCTATCTATCTATCTATCTATCTATCTATCTATCTATCTATCTATCTATCTATCTATCTATTTACAAGACAACGGCATATGATATATCTATGTAACACAACAAACATATATTTATTTATTTATCTATTCTCTACACGTTTATCGATTTCTTTCTTCCATTATTTTATTTAAATATAAAATAATATATTTTATAATTTGTTTTTAACTACCTATTACTTAACGTTATATCATTCTCATAATTAATATGAATTTTTAATAGAATTAAAACAAAAAAAAAGTGAAATATGATTTTTAATTTAAAAATATTAATTAAATTTAATAATTAAAAATATATTATATTGTATTATATATATATATAAAACAACAATTTTTAAATATTATTATTATTATTATTTTTAAAAAATATTATTATTATTTTTAATTTGAAACAAAAAAATATGTATGTAAATTTATATATAAGTAAAGATAAAAAAAAAAAAAAGAAGAAAATTCATTATAAATATTATTTTAACATTTGTAATAATATAAATAATTTTTAACAAACTTTTTCTATAATATTAAACATGAATTATATATATATATATATATATCTATTGTTTTATTTCAAAAATACATCGTAAAAATTTGATATCTCATATTAGACGCATATATCATAATCCTCTTCCATTATCCACCATTTATTCCCTCTCCACCACCCCATATATATATTTAAACACGTATAGATGATAGACGATCGATACGATAGATTATTTTTACGATAAGCCTTTTAGCGTTTGAGAAATGTGAAAAGGGGACGAGATTATTGGGTGAGGAGGTTGAGACTGAAGTTAGGGGGCGGATAGGGGTGGTTACTAAAAGCTGTCTCGTTTTTAACGACAGATAACACGCTACTTATCCTCGATCTCTTAACTCATTCTCCAATATATTGGCAATAAACAAACCCCTTAATCACACAATCGAGACACATCAACAAATTCGACATTTGCAAAAGATTTGAAAATGTTTTAATACCTGTTTCTCTGTTTGTTCCATTTCTTTAATCTTACTCTTTCTTTTTTTGAAAGAGACAGAGAGAGAGAGAGAGAGAGAGAGAGAGAGAGAGAGAGAGAGAAAGAAAGGAATAGAAGATTGAGAAAAATTCTGACAAAACAAGCTACGACACAATACAGAAGAGTCCATTTGTATAAATAATAAAACACCAAGTTGTTTGAATTATTCACAGGGTGGGGGTGGAGGGGGCGGGGGGTGTTTGGGGTGGTGATGGGAGGTGGGTGGGTTTGTAAGAAGAAACAGGATCGATAAATAACACGTTCTCTTCGTTTTTATCAGATATTATGTTGGTTTTTTTCTTTCTTTCTTTCTCGTATCATACTTATTACAAGTGTCATAATCATCAGTCATAATCATCAGTCATAATCATCAGTCATCATAAACAGTTAACATTTATTACGAATTCTAATCAATGATGGGTAGTACCATCCTATGTAAAAAAATATAAACGTTTTATTTCATTTATTTCTATTAAATAATAATAATAATAATAATAATAATAATAATAATAATAATAATAATAATAATAATATTTGTAAAATAATAATAAATTTTAATTATTATATGGTGTTTCGAAAAAAAAAAAAACAAGAAACAAAAATATTCTTTCAATGTTTTTGAAATGTATATTGAAAATGTATGAGAAGTTTGTACATATATATATATATGTGTGTGTATATGTAAGAATAAAAAAAAAAAAAGATAAAATAAAGCTACATACAAAAACACCACAACAACAGACAAACATCATCATATACACACGTGCATGTAAAAATTGAACATTACTCCATTTTTAATCGTGCATCTTTAATTTCATCTGCCAAGCATAAATCTTCATAAGCCCTTTCATAATCACTCATACAGATAAAAACTTCTGCCCTTTTCAAGTAACTAAGAAGTAAACTGCTACCATAATCGATCGCTTCCATATCAGCTGCAACATAAATAAAAAGCTTTTTGTTTTTTTTTTCTCTCTTCTTCTTCTTCATTGATACGTTTATCGATAGAAAATGTAAAATATAAAGGCTTATCAAAGTTGATCTATCATTGTCAGATAAATGTTGTTTAATAAGAGAGAGAGAGAGAGAGAGAGAGAGAGAGAGTTAGAGAAAGACAAGAAATTTGAAAGAGAGACAAAAAAACTTAAAAAAGAAACAAGAAACTTGAATGTGAGTTTCAAAAAGATTTGAAGAATTGAGTTAGATTGACTTAGTTCTTGACTTAGTCTTGACTTAGTCTTGACTTAGAATCCTTTAGAAAATAATTTTGTTATTTTAGTAACAATACTTTTTAAGTTTTCTACAGTATCTTTTTTTTTTTGGTTTTTAACAGATTCTTATTGTTATTAAATTACATTTAAATGTTGTTATTTATATAATTTGATCGTTGACAAGTTCAATTTTGAAAAATATTTATAAATATATAATACTTTCTGATTATGATATTCAAATTTCTCCTTTAATCTTTGTATATATATATATATATATATATATATATATATATATATATTTCTCATTATGTTATGTAAATAATGTAAATATAAATATCATATAATTTGGTTTGTAATAATAACGTATTTCCATGCTTCAAATATATTTTATTTTCTATATATTAATTTATATTATATATTAATTATATAAATATATAATATAATATTAATTATATAATTATATAATATAATATTATATATAATAATATAATTAATTAATATAATAATTATTATAACTATAATAATATAATAAAATTATTAATAATATAATTCGTGATAAATACAAAACTTTTCCAAATTATACATTACATATATATATATATAAACAATAATAATCATTGTAAACGAGAAATTTGATAAACGTTATAAATCAAAAAAAGAAAAAAAAAAACAAAAAAAAAGGAAACAATATTAAGACACGTCTAATTATTGGAAAAAAGAAAAAGAAAAAGAAAAAGGAAAAATGAAAAATAATAGGACTAAAAGAAAAAAATTCCTTACAAGTGCCAGGTGATAGCAAAATGGCAGCATTGGCTAATCTCAATGCATCTTCATATTCATGTGCTCGTAATAATTTACTTGCTTCCACTCTTTTCATCTTAGCTAAAACAACATTTCTATTTCTGCTGAATGGTGTAACGCAACATAATACCTCATGAAGATATTTTTTAAATTTTGGATGAGTATAAACTGCAAGTACACGATCATAATCGTTATCAATATTTTTAAAATCATTTTCGATCCACTCATCGCCAACATGACCAAGCGATAGCCTAAAAAAATTTTTCAAAAAACCACTAGTCTCTGAAATACTTGTCTCACGATTGCTTATTTTTCTCATAGCAGCAGCATCTCTTTCTATATCTCCTGTAAACAGATCCTCCATCTTGTTACTTCCTTTTTTTTTTTATTCACACTTGACAAAATAAAAACTACTCCTTCTATTTCTTTTCTTTTTTTTTTTTTTTTTAGTATTTGTCAAACCAAGTTGTTTGTTTCTATTGTAAAATTGAAACACTAAACTTTTGTTAATTTCACTTTCAATTAATTCTTCTAACGAAATATATTTCAAAGTTATATTAAACAAGTTTAAATCAATTTTTAATTATTATTTATTTATTTATTTATTTATTTCTGTTGATTGAAATTTTCAACAAGGTTGCATAAAGCACACACAACAATAAATAGCATGAGTTACGATCAACACACATTTCTTTTCATTTTTCTCATTTTACTCGCATATTACACACACACTCATATATATATATTCACATGAAACACTTTTCTATAAAAATTATAAATAAAAGATGATCAAGTAATCTTATCGTATAAACCAGATGATGGTTGATGATTCAAGAAGATAGTAGTTAAGTGGTTTATACGGTTCTCGTGGTATCAAACGTGTAAAATGGTTTCACCAAGCTCGATCTATTCCGGGTACGCACAGTTTGACCCATCCTAAACTCATTCTCTCTCTCTCTCTCTCTCTCTCTCTCACTCTCTCTCTTTCTTTCTTTCTATACTCTGCTACTCTGCTACTCTGCTACCTAACTCAAAGTTATGCTAACAATGAACAATGACAGAGAGTATCTATTTAGTTCATTTCCTCTCATCTTCTTATATTTATATTTATTTATATGTTTTGATTTTTTATTTTATTCCCCACCATTTTCTCTTTAATCTGCCCCTTTTTTTGACTTTTTCTTATACTTATTTGTCAATATATTATATTATGTTGATGTTTTCAAGGTTTATAGTGGGGAATGGGGAGTGAGAGAGTGGGGGAGTTAAGGGTTGAAGGATAAAGGGAATTATGGTTTGGTTTGGTTTATTATTATATTTGTAGGTTAATATTATCTATTTAATAGGTCATTTTAATGTTGATGTTAAATTTAACGTTAATTGGTAAAATAAATTATTAAATATATTATATCTATTATTTGTAATCTAAATAAATTTATAATAATAATATATAGATATATAATATATAATATAAGAATAAAAATAAAGTCAAATATAAAAATAAGAATAAAAATAAAATATAATATAGAAATAAAATTAAAATCTAATATAAAAAAAAAAATTAAATATACTATTATATAAAAATATAAAATAAAAATAAAATATAATATAAAAATAAAAATAAAATCTAATATAAAAATAAAAATTAAATATACTATTATATAAAAATATAATATAAAAGTAGAAATAAAATATAATATAAAAATACTAATAAAATATAATATTAAAAATTTATAATAATTTATAAAAATATAATATAAAAATATATATTTAATAATAAAAATAAAAATATTATATTATACAAATTATATTTATGTATACCTAAATAAATATATTAATTAATTACTTAATTTATATTAAATACAATATATATATATATATATATCTAACCTTAAATATTTTATTATATATTTATATAATATTATTTATATAATAATAATAAACCCTTTACATAAAACCCGATATATTTAATACACCAATTATTTAAAAATTCTAAAACATTTTTCTCTACTTTAAAAAAAAAAAAAAAAACCCCCAAACGAATCACAAATTTTCGATTTTTCTTATGGGGATTTGACTTTACAGACATGAAAAAGTATTAGACTGCAGTCGAGAGAAGAAAAGGAGGAAGGAAGAAAGGAAAAGGGATGAAGGGGCAAAAAAAAAAGTCTCTTGAGATTCGCTACGTGTTTTCTTATTCCACCTTTTTTTTTTTTCTATCTTACTCTTTTTATGTCCTCCTCTCTCTCTCTCTCTCTCTCTCTCTCTCTCTTTTTCTCTTTCACTTTTAGTCTTTTGCTCTTATTCGACGTTAGAATAATTTTAGATGTAACCTCCCTCTGGTTGATCTTATTTTCGTCGTTCTAGAACGTGAATCAGCTTGCAAATACCTTTTTACCTTAGCAGAGTCGTCATCTAACGGTTGTCTGTCTGACTCTAACCCAAGAACTCAAACTAAGAAGAAAAAACTATTACAACTTTTATATTTTATACCATTTTGTTTTTTTTTTTCATTTTTTTCTAATCAATAATAATATTTAATTATATTTTTATTATCAATAATTATTTGTATAATATAATAGAAATTTTTGAACGTAGAAACAATTGTAGGACACTTACGAGTGTGTTTCAATGTTTTTTTATTTTTATTTTTATTTTGTTTTTTTTTTCCCCTAATTTGTCGTTTAAAAGTCAAAATGATAATTTATTTGCTTTTTTATTTTTTTGTTTATTTTATCTTTTTTGTTTTTTTTTATCTTGGAACGATATTTTCTGCTTGATCAACTGTGATATGAACCCACCTCTCACCACCTCACCACCTCCACCCCCTATACATTGCGTACACAATCCCGAGAGTGAACGTAATTATTTATTTTTAATTTTATTTTCTATTTCATGTTTGCTTTAATAATTTCAACGTTTCATTTAGGAACGAGAGTAAATATATTTATTTATATATTTTTTTTTTCGTTGTTTTTTTTTTACTACACAAATAGTTGATTAATTATATTAAAAGTTATATTTTATTAACAATATATATATTTCATTATATTTTTATTTTTTAATTGAATTACCATTGTATTTATTTTGTGACTAATCTTAAAGTATTGTGTCTTGTATTCTATTATTATTATTACATTTACTGAAGACATTGTAAGTAAATGAAATAGTTGATTAATTATATTCAAAGTTATATTTTATTAAAAATATATATATATTTCATTTTATTTTTATTTTTTAATTGAATTACCATTGTATTTATTTTGTGACTAATCTTAAAGTATTGTCTCTTGTATTCTATTATTATTATTATTATTATTACATTTACTGAAGACATTGTAAGTAAATGAAATAGTTGATTAATTATATTAAAAGTTATATTTTATTAACAATATATATATATTTCATTTTATTTTTATTTTTTAATTGAATTACCATTGCATTTATTTTGTGACCAATTTTAAAGTATTGTGTCTTGTATTCTATTATTATTATTATTATTATTATTATTATTATTATTATTGTATTTTCTGAAAATATTGTATGTAAACGAATATTTCACGCATCATGATTTTAAAGTAACAAACTCCATAGACGTGTCTATCAAAAAATGTCTTCCCGTTGTTGAAACACCATAGTTGTGATCGATAAAGAGAACACGACTTGTGGGGTTCTTTTTCTTCTTTTTTTTTTTTTTTTTCTTATGTCCTTTTTGAGATGCAAAGTGTTTCGTATGCGATAATGGAAAATGGCATGTAAGGCATAGCAAGTAATACGGACAAGAAACACCCACACCTACACCTACCTTACACCTACCCTACAACTACACACACACATATATATGTATAAAGAAAAGATAATATAATGTGTTAGTGTTCAGTAGATAAGACAACATGTTCAGATATTATTCCTACGTAAATTTGAATGACATTTTCATCGAGTATTTAATGAAAAAGACTTGTGTACGTCAACCTAATTATTTTTGAAAACTCAAGTTTAGATAAAAACATGGACAGATAATCAAAAAGAAGAAGAAGAAGAAGAAGAAGAAGAAGAAGAAGAAGAAGATGAATAAAGAGAGAAAAAAAAAGAAAAAGAGGAAAATACAAATTTCTTTTTATCTTCAGGTTTTAGTAATATCCCCACGTGTATGGTGGGGTAACCAGCCTTGCATAACAAGTGGTAGGATATTCGTAGAACATTCGAAAATGTGTTTACACTAGGGTCGAGGATTTTTACTCAAGAAGTAGCGTGTATCCAAAAGTATAGTACTTGAAACCCTTTTTTTTTTTAAAGATTTGTTAACATTTTCAAAAATCTCTCAAAAAGTAAAAACATAAAAAACAAAAAAATGATATTTGAATGAATGAGAAACTGTTTGAGTTTGTTTCTACAAGTTTGCAAAATGTTTGATAATACACATTGTTCATAATTAATACTTTTTTTAAATATTTTTAATTAGCCTATACTTTCTTTTTTTCTTTAATGTTTATCTATTGTTTTGTTTTTATTTATATATATATATATATATATATTTATTATTTATAATATATCACATGTATAGATAATTAAATAATATTTAATAATGATTGATAGGAATATACATTAATATAATAAAATAAAAAATAAAAAAATAAAATAATAAATAATTTATCTTTAAAATACCTTTGTTTGATAACACTACACATAATTGTAATAAAATAAAAAATAAAGTAATAAAATAATAAATAATTAATACTTAATTAGCACACCATTTTTGTTTTTCTTTTCTTTTTTATTTATCTATTATTTTGTTTTCGTTTATATTTTTTGTTTATTAAATATCACGTATATAGATAATTAAATAATATCTTATTCACATCTAGTCAGTGTTAGATCGAAGTTAACTAGGGTTCGTATACCTACGAGATAAGCTAATTAGTAACGACAAACTGCTAACGCATATTGTCGGTCTTATTACATTAGATAGTGTTCATTAAATGCATCCTATTACATCGATCTAACGAGAACTAATGGATTTTCCTGGTTAATTTAGTCTACCTTTACAAATTTTCTAATACTTCAAAAATAATATCTCATAAAATTCATAACAGGTTGTAATTGCAATATATAAAGAACACCACACACCATCAAATAATATTTCTATTACATTTAATCAGAATTCTATCAAGTTTTCATAGTGAGTGGTAATTTTTTATTTTACACGACGTGTATATACGTCAATCTCACCTCAGCAGAGATTTGATTGGACATTTATACACGTCTAATTAATTGAAGTGATTAAATAAATTGATTTTTGAATTTTAAGATAACTCAAACTCATTTGTTTGGATATTTAATAATTTTTTTTAATTTAAGGGGACCTTCTACTCTGCAATTAAAAAAATTTTATTTTTTTTTTTTTTTACATTTTTCGAATGTATATATATGTAGAAATATTGTGTTAAAATTTCAAAAAGATCCGATGTCTCTAACTACATTTTTGATGCCTGAACGTAACTACCTCGGACCGCTTTCCTGAGCGTTCGGCGCGCACGG